AGCTGATCGTTTAGTAGATTGATTAGCGAATCATGATCAGTTGACTCACAGGCTGTACTACGGCCCGCAGGTTCGTGCACTTCAGTCAGCCGGGGGGCGTGGAGCTTGTTTACTGTTTTTCCTGCAGCCATTATTTCGGCGCAAGCCTTAATTTTTGCTCATTTTTCTACTGGCACACTGTGCGACCGTAATTTCAAATATAGTCGTACCCTCGAAATTCCGGGCGCATATGCGACCATTCCATTTGCAGTCATGAGGCTTGGGCTTGCTATGGTCAGAAAAGCACAAATGTGTAGTCATTTGTTTTTGTACCTGATAAAGATGCGACAGCCCCATTATGGACCTTGGTGTTCAGTTCTGATTATACATACAGAGGCCACACCCTCTAACACTGATGGCTAAACATTTCCATCCATCCATTATCTATACACTGTTTAATTCTGACTTGGGTCGCGGGAGCCTATCCCAGCTGACTTAGGGCGAAGGCAGGGGACACCCTGGACAGGTAGCCAGTCTATCGCAGGGCTACACTTAGAGACAGACAACCAAGCACACTCACATTCACACCTACGGACAATTTAGAATCACCAATTAACCTCAACATGTTTTTGGACTGTGTGGGAGGAAGCCGGAGAACCCAGAGAGAACCCACACTGCATGGGAGAACATGCAAACTCCACGCAGAAAGATCCCGGTGCCCCCCGGGGACGCGAACCGGCGACCTTCTTGCTGTGAGGCAGCAGTGCTACCAACCGCACCACCTTGCAGCCCAGCGAAACATATCATGAGTATTAATTGATAAATAGAGAAAACTTGATAGCAATTTGATTTGGAAGTAGGATATGGAGAAACGGGGTTGTATAGCGTTACGCAATAGATGGAAATATTTGTTGAGAAACCTCACTGATGGAAAATGGGAACTGAGAGTAACAATAGTATTCTTTCGTATTTACTGAATCAAATCTACAAAAAATCAATGATCAGAAATTGTCGGGAACCCTGTATATTAAGAATTTACATCTCACACAATGAATGAGGAGTGAGTGAGTTTTGAAGAGAATGTGCTCAGTGCACATGTCTTGTGTGTACAGAAATAATACTAACATGTCTGAAATGTCTGAGAGGGAGAAGCTAGCAGCCTTGTCAACAGAGAGAAAAGCTAGTTTCCTGCCCTGTTTTCTCTCTTCAAACACTTATTTGAGCCATCAGCCTCTATTATTAGATCAAAATGAATATTCAGTATGAAAGAGAAGGGCAAAAAGTGGGAAGATAGGGGAATGGGTGCATGGCAGAAAGAAAATAACATAAGTGTAGCAGGGAAGAGATTAAAGTTTTGGGACGACAGATTATCTGAGGGGGATAAACAAGATGTGTGATGATTTGGCTAGAAATCCCTGCCGCATGTACTCTCTCTCCTGCTGTCATTTACATGTCCTTATCCTTTGTCATTAGGAATAGTCCTTACTCATAAAAGACTTTCACAAAAGCTTGAATGTGTTGCAACCTGAGCTTTTTCTAGTGCTGCTGCCTGTTAGTGTAGTCAGATTTGCTGGTTGTCATTGATGTCCAGCTCTGACCAACTCAGGCTTGGATTTTGACAGCAAGCTATGAGCAATTGGTCAGATAGTCTCTGCACAGCTTTGAAGTATGTTTGGGCTCATTGTCTTGTTGGTATATGAACCCACAACCAATCAGATTCAGTCCAGAAGGGATTCCATGATGCATATAAAGTTGTGGTGGACACTTTGGTTCATGATGCCATTGGTTTTTACTAATTTGCCCACGTCTTTTACACAAATGGAACCAGTAGCGATTCTAGGTTTTATTTTTAGGGGGGGCCAATGCTATGTTTTGGGGGGCACCCAATAACTGTGTTATTTGTGGATGTAGCCTATAGCAATTTCTCGAGAAGTGTTCTTTACTTGTCCTCACATTGTGTGACAAAATATAGACCTAACCTCATTAAACAGATCTAACAAAATAAACATGATCTGGAAAAGGTTTCTGGTCAGAACATATGTGTACAATATGGAATGTACAATAATTGATTCTTTCAAAAGCAACTCATGACACTCAAACTGATTCACAGCGTGAAGATTCATGTTAATAACAGCCTGATGGTTCAAGGTACATTAAAATGATACATACATGTAAATACACACAACACAATGCTCTCCTCGTCAGATTCCAGCAGGGGCCATGGCCCCTGTGGCCCCTCCCCTTCCTTCGCCAGTGAATGGAACCCAATGCCGTAATGGAATCTCCACCGTGTTTCACTGTGGGCGCAATGCATCTGGCATCAAAACGTTCTCCAGCTTTTCTGCAGACTTAAAAACAACGATGTAAACCGAAGAGTTTTAACTTGGACTTGTCTGTCCAGAGGACCTTCTTCCATTCACCAACAGTCCAGTATTTGTGCTCACTTGCGAATCTGAGGTGTTTCTGGATGTTTGCAGGCCTCAATAATGGCTTCTTAGCAGCTCTTCTTCCCTTTAAGCCTTGTTCCATCAGTCGCCTCTTATGGTCATTCTGGAGACCTTCTCAGACTTTGAAGCATTCATGTCTGCCTGAAGATCAACAGTGGTCTTCCTTCTGTCTCCAGTCCTTTGGATCTGGAAATGTCTGACATCTGTTTCAGTTAACTTTCGTTTCCTGCCTGTTTTTTTGGAACATTTTCTAAGAACCAGTCTCACCAACTGACTCCAAATCATACTTGACCAAACTGTTAGAACACTTTATGTCTTTCCCTGTTTGTCTCAGAGACCATCCAGCATCATGAAGCGCTTTAATCTGAGTCTTTCATTTTCAGTAAGCTCTCGACGTTTTACCATTTTGAACAGGAATGAACTCACCTGAATTCACCTTTTTGTACTCAAATCTGAGCCGGCTGACTGGGCTTCTCATAGAAGTCAGAAGTTCATCAAGCATTGACATTTTAATCAACAAATAATAATATGTTTTACTATTTTTTCATTTTTTCCGTAAAACGGTACATTTGAAAATTCATGGAAAACAATAATAATTATATTTTAGCATTACAAATATAATTTGGGTTAAAGAGCTTCTACATACTGGTGTATTAATCATTACAGAAACATAAGATCCATCCATCCATTTTCTATACACCGCTTAATCCTCATTAGGGTCGTGGGGAGGTTGGAGCCTATCCCAGCCGACTTAGGGCGAAGGCAGGGGACACTTGGACAGGTCGCCAGTCCATCGCAGGGCCACACTTAGAGACAGACAACCAAGCACACTCACATTAGAAACATAAGATGATTTTGGTAATTATCAATGCTGTTAATTTCGGGCAGCTGTGGCATAAACCTTACATTCAGTGGTGGTCTAATACATTTGTTAAGCACTGTAAATAAAATTGAATTGAACTGAATTTAATCAAGCAATCACTGCCAACCTCAACCACTGAGGCAAGGCTGGTTGGCTTCATGGATTCTTGTTGTTTTAATTCTCCCTGTACTAACTGCATGTGGGCACAGAACTAAAGAATAATCAGAGCATGTAATTTCTGTCTTCTGATATCGAGGTTTTTGAGAGGTTGTTACCACTGCAGTCTGAGTTTCCTGTTCTTAGCTGTTTTTCTGAACGTGCTGTTATCTTCTGATGTTGAGGTCTGATCAGCTTCAAGGTTCCCTGTGCTCTCCTGCAGAAAACATTTGTAGTTTCTGGCTGTTCAAGTTACTGTCATATTCCTCCTTTACAGCAACACCAGTGTATTTTCACCCATAGAGCTGCTGCTCATTGGATGTTTTTTTCTGTTGTTGTTGTTGTTTGCAACATTCTCTCAAAAACCGAGAGACTTTTGTTCATTAAAAATACAGGAGATCAGCAGGTTGTGAGATACTGAAACTACTGGCACCAGCAAACTAACCTAACAACAAACTAAACTAACCTAACAACATTCTGCTGTTCACATGATGTCACATTTCCTTCTTATCTCCATGTGTGTCATGTCCGAAAAACAATAGCAAGCCTTACTGCTCTGAGTATGTGCTGCATGACTGACTGATATATGAGGTGTGTCAGAAAAGTTCCAGGACTGGTGTCACAAAAGATATATTTCAAGCACAATCTATGAGTTTTTCCCTTCAGACGATCAACTAGCACATCTACAAAGAGATCCTGCGGCGTTTGCTTTGTTCAGCGTGCGAGAAGAGGTGAGAGTTGTGGCCGGACAAGTCATGGCTGCTTCACCATGACAATGCGCCTGCTCACAATGCTCTGAGCATCCGAAAGTTCCTGGCTGAGAAGAACATCACCGTGCTGGAGCAACCTCCCTACTCACCCCACCTGGCTCTGTGGGATTTTTTCGTATTCCCCAAGCTCAAGGGGGTCATCAGGGGGACCCGTTTTGAAGACGTCGACGACATTAAGATGGCTGTGACAATGGAGCTGCAGAGGATCCTGGAAGACTCCTTCCAGGAGTGCATGGCGGCGTGACAGAGAAGGCTGGGAAAGTGTGTTAGACTCAAGGGGGATTACTTTGATCGGGAAAACTCATAGTTTGTAGTTTGGATTTGAAATATATCTTTTGTGACACCAGTCCTGGAACTTTTCTGACACACCTCGTATATTTGCATCAATGATCCGATGGACTGGTGCACCTACTAAAGTGGCCACAAGGCACAGGTGAATATAAACTATTGTGGTACTAAACAGATGCTTAAATTCTACACAGCAGCTTGTGTTGATATGACACAGGAATTTACAACTCTGGCACCTTCTCATTGTGACATTAGCTTTGTCTTTCATCTTGATGGTTGCAGCAGGAACAGGATAATGTTTTTGCTTATGTTGCAAAGTAATCTTGTAAGTATGTATACTAACTTGTACTTCAGCCCGGCAAGTTCAACTTCAGCCATATTTTGATATCAGAGGGGTCTCTGTACGAACCCCTTTTGTACAAATGCAAAAAACTTTAAGATCGGCTTGATGTGAACATGGCTGTTTTGGATAAGTACGACTGACTTTGTGTTTTGCAGGAAAATGGCGAGGACTCCCATCGTATCTCTCCCAGTCCTGTGGTCCATGTCAGGGGCCTGTGTGAGGCTGTTGTGGAAGCAGACCTGATAGATGCCCTGGAAAGGTTTGGACCCATATGGTGAGACAGCAACTGCTATCTATTTGTTTTCTAAGTCTGTGTTTTCTAAGAGGACTGATAAACTGAGACTTGTATCTAACTGCACACACATTTTTAACCTGTGTCCAGTTTATGTTGGTCTAGAGCTTACAGGCGACCCTCAATTCCTTTAATAGGTAGTGTACAGCTTGGGGTGACTAGTCACCGGTCTGGTAACGGGCTAACACATCTGTACATCTGTAAAGGGAGAACACGCTCGGACTAGCAGGACAGATTTTACAGTCACCAATTCACCCAACAGGGGTAATGGTTTAGCCAGTCATTTTTTATCTAGCTGTCAGTCATAGTTCAGTCTGCAGGCTATTCAATTATCTGTTAATGCTTGCTAAGAGACAAGTCAAGTTCACGCACGGTCTTGATGAGGGTTAGAGGTGTATATCAGCACCGACAGAGGAGGGAAATAACGAAGTACAAATACTTTGTTACTGTACTTAAGTAGATTTTGCAGGTATCTGTACTTTACTTGAGTATTAGTTTTTCTTACGACTTCTTTCTTTTACTCCCTACATTTGAACACAAATATCTGTACTTTCTACTCCTTACATTCTCAAAACTTACTCGTGACTTGTTTCAACCTCTGTGGATGACGACATGACGTAAAAGTCGTAACAACAAACGTCTTTATCTTTCCCAGCAGTGTGCAATTTGTCACTGAAGCTCCTCACACCCCTGCCTGCCTCAGCTGCCTGCCAGAGGCTTTT